ACCTTCTTGCGGTTAGAGTTATTCTTTTTTTTTAATATTTTGGCTTTTTGATCTAGCTGTATTATTAATTTGATTGTGTTTTTTTTTATATACTAGGATTATGTGTTGCTCTTGTTTTCTTTTTGAACTATTTCCTGTAATTGGGTGATTGTACCTGTTGGAAATAAAGATCCATCTATCTATCTATCTTAGACCTCCAGTAATGCCATCTCAGAAGCATATTTTACATCACATCAGAGCCAAAGATTGATAACAAGTCTCATGACGTTTAGGCTACTCGTACGATTAAGTGCTAAGGCTGCTGCACTAGTCGTATGGATTTCCAGTGGTTTTGCAAATAACACATCTTCTTAAATCGAATTCTTAAAAATATATCTAACATATACGAGCAATATTGCACAGTTTGCTACATCGGTCGACTCGTCCAGCTAAATAGCAAAATAATTCAATTTTATTCTTTTTAACACTGTTCGTCAAATCTTTAATTCTCCATGTCACTGTGCTGTTTGATAAGGGCACAAGGTCATTTTTTGCCGCTTTTTCTTGAAGCACGCACATTGCGATGTCTTTAGCACAAGGTCCGATCAAATTTTCTGCCACTGAATGAGCTTTTTCAGACCTTGCGATTGTCCGTTTTTAACGAACGATCCATCCTAAATTTACAGAATATTATTATATTTATTTAATTTCACGTTCGACATGCGTACGGCTCACGAAGTGTGTTCGACGGTACTCGTACTTTTGTTTTTTTTTTTTGGTGAGGGGGGAATGCATTTACGCACCATACCATAGCCAGAGCTACGGCGTGTGTGGGACTCCAGGGTCTTGAGGAGATCACCTAATACCCACTAAACCCTAAACCTCCGCGTGGCCTGACTCATCAGCGTCTCGGTAGGCCATGTGTTGTGCGTGACCTGCGGTCTGCTACAACGTCTCCTCATGTGTTTCAGTCTCTGGGAACGCCGGGTTGGTTCCCTTTACCTCGCACATTCTATCGATGTCGTTAAGCGATCATCGATAGAGGGTCTGCTGGTTCTCTTGAAACTCTTATTTTCGAAAAATCAAGAGTTTCAAGTCCTCTTACCAATATGTTGTTCCTGGTCCTGGTCCTGAAGGGTCCTGGTCCTGGTGGGTCCTGGTCGTGGCGGGTCCTGGTCCTGGTTGGTCCTGGGTACTCGTACTGCCGTGACTGCGACCTTCTTATATCTGCAGACGTTATTCTCGTTCTTTCCAGTGCATTCTCGAAAAGGTCTCGGTGCGCCCGAGTCGCCAAAGTAGAACTCTTGCAGGATTGTTGTAGCGGCGGTGTTGCAACCTAGGGGTTCGTGAACCACCGCTTGATAAACCCTGACCTAGACGTATCATCTGGAGCGTTGGTGACATTCTGTTTAACGTTCTTGTGCATTTTCACCTCTTGGATGTGTACGCAGTCATTTTGCTATGGAATGCTTTCAGGTAAGATTTCCTAACCAAAGATGTAACCTTTATGCGAAGGGCGCTGAAGATATAAATGATGAATGGGAGGCGCCATGGGGCACTTACTACTAAACTGATTCCAGACACTAAGATTAGGATTGACAGGGGAGCTGCGCAGATAGATAACTATACTAGACAGTTCCTAATGGGGCATGGTTGCCTTGGCAGCTACCTAGAACAGGTATGAAAGAGAGGCACAGCAAACTGTACATATTGTTTTGAGGAGGAGGATATTCCTGAGCATCTACTCGAGACCACGGAAAGTGAAGCTCAGGGAGAAGTCAAGTCCTGACCACCTTGCCAAACATGTAGGCGAGAGCAGATGTGTTGAAATTCAATCAATAATTACGCGAATGAGGCTGAGTGAGAGGTATGTGACAAGAAAAGCAGACAGAGAAACCAACAGTAAGTTTTTCTTTCTGCTGGCTATGCACATACACTACCATTCAAAAGTCTTTGAACACTCTGAAAACAAGAAAACTGATGGAATTTATTAAAGAAAACGTTACAAAATATGTATAAAATATTTATTTACCCAGAAAGGAATCAACAAAAACGCACTTGTTGAACAATCTGGAACTATAAGGTATTGAAGCACGGTTAATTTATCAACTGAGACAAGATAATTGAAGTAAAACTGTGTTATGGGTTTACGTATAGAACAAACTAAGATAAATAATCTAAAAACAAATCCTGAGAAAGAACTTCTAAAATATAACAACGATCTAAAGGCAAAGAAATTCCTATTATGACTAATGCAGAGATCCCAATAATAGTGTGAGCAAAATTTTGATTTGAACGACTTTTCAGTGATGCTTGATTTCCATGGTGATCATTTTCAATAAATAAAGAAAAATAAATACGTACTGAATAGTTTTTCTTGTTTGTTATGATTTTAAATGCACATACTTTTGAACGGTAGTGTACGTACAAGTGTATCTCTAAGGTGAGAAAAGGCTCATAGGACTCACCAGTCGCACTTTTCTGCTACAGAGTGGCTATAAAACCTTTCCCCTGTCCTAAATAAAAACACATTCCCTGCGTGGAAGGTGAACCCAAATCAAAATCCTAAATGAATCAAAAATTTTCAAACGACAGAACTCACTACCTGGAGAACCGGGAATGCACACGAACCAATATAATATGCCTCAACCCGAGAAGAGTTTAAATGAACCTCATAAAGCTTCCATCCCACGTCCGTGAGGCTAATGAAACACGGCAACGCTTATTTAAACTCAAATCAAAACTTATTACTGCACGAAGTTTTCCGTGGGAGCACATTCGACAGCACAAATGTGTCGCGTTTATAACCCCGCATGAACTTTTCCGATCTTCGGATAACATGTCGGCCCGAAAATGAATCTCACGCAACGCAGCACAACATAGATGTTTGAAATTTGCAATTGCCTAAGCTACTAGTTGTGAATAACGTTACCACGAAAGGCGTTGTATGAAGCAGGATTTGTTTTATAATATACAGGGTGTCCACGAAAGATTGGGAAATCTCAAAACTGGAGATACTACAGATCAAAATATGTGAATAGGAAGGTTCGATTTTTTCGTATTTCTCTTATTTTGATTAAAATCAAGGGATTTTATTATTAAACAACGGTCAAAGAAATTTGAGTGCAAAATATTAATATTTACGTCGAGGGAAAGCATTTTAAAATCAAGGTTCGACGCGAGGCTAGAAAACGTACCTGTACGCGAGACTAGACCGCGTGACGCCAGTAGCCAGACACGTGCTGTCGCCCTATTAGAGTACTTGTATCTTGTATTGTCTTGTATACGGAGTGAAGAGTATACGAATACGAATTTATATAAACTGGGACCGACGTTTGTGTACTTTATTTATTTATGCTAGCACAATGCTCCAAGCTAGTACCTATCAGAAAGCTGATTCGCGAAATTTACCCCATGTGAATGTCGAAATGGTGTACGAGTTTCTGGCAAATAATGCAAATTCAAATGAACCTCAGAGCAGCGGTGTTAAAGTAGTTCGGTAAGTACCTATATGAAGCTATTTTTTTTTGTTTAGTTCCAATGGGTAGTATTTTTTGTATTTCTCCACAAACATTGATCCTGCTTTGCTTTAGTCTATTGAAAGCTAATAATATTAAGACATAGTAATGCCTGCTCGTGACACGAATTTTGAATGCTATTTATAGCTTTTTTCTTCCTACTAGGATCGTTATGAGCGTCCATCTATGGAGGAATTACACGCATTGTTGGTTGCACATGTTTTGTGCAGCCGAGGAGTCTGTAGTTTTCATCTCTGAGGAGAAAGTTGGTTGAATAGCAAGATCGCATCTGGATGATTATGTGTACTCGTCTACATGTGTATAAAATCAGTGATATTTGCTACTAGCTCTTCCCGACGGGTTATATATTTATAAGTTGACCTTTTTGAAGACCGGTTATATTCAAAGTTAAAAATTACGATTTTTTAAGTTTTTTCTTGTGTTTTCAAAAACTCTGAGAAGAATTACGGGAAATACCACCGGACCTGCATGTGGGTAATCACTGTTAGCAAGTATTTGACATGTAATTCGACAGTGTACAGTGAATATAATCATTTTTTTTCTCTCTCATTTTTTAAATTCAGCAAATTTGTTTATGTAATTTCCAGAATGGATAAGAAAAAGTGGATGCGCAAGTAATTTCTAGCTTTGAATCTCAATTAAGTGTTTCTGAGACAATCCAATGGAACTATCATCAACACATATTATCAGCATACAAATCCTCATTATGCACCTATGCATTGCCGTTTCCTTCTAGCTATAGTATACAACTTACAGCTTTGACCTCCAGTAATGCAATCTCTGAGGCAGATGCACCACATCAGAGCCAAACATTAATAACTGAAACCGCATGACGTTTAGACAACACGTGCAACTGCAAAACGAGTTCACAACGTGTCCATCAGCTAGTGCTAAGTTAACATCTTGTACAAGAAATTACGTATTGTCATAAAAAACCAACACAATGTCACTTCTACGTAATACCCGTGCCCTAAAAATAGAAGTCGTAATCTAATTTTAAACTACAAACCTATTACTATTGCGTGAGATTTTCCGAAATCTTTTGAAATGTTGTTCGATGATTTTATACAATATATTCTTCTATTACTACAGCACAGCATGGACTTGTCAAGGGGAGGTTGACAACAACAAACTTTGTCTAAATCGGTTATTGGCAAGTGTTTTAGGTTCTAATGATCATGTTGATGTATTGTACTGATATCAGCAAAGCATTTGATGAAGTCAACAATAATTTACTTCTGGAAAAACCAAATAGTAGTGGCTTATCAAAAAATTTGTCTCAGTCTTATCTGTCCGGTTGCTAACTATTGGTGGATTTTAGATCAATTCACTTTTTCCTATCTACTGGTGTCCCGCAAGGATCTTCTTTATGTCCACAACTATTCATTTTTTTATCAGTGGTATAGTAGATGTAATATTCAGCTATACGCAAATGACATAAATCTTTACTGGAAGCTTGATAATCTATCTAGTTGCTCTTACCTGCAAAAGAATCCTGGCAGACTAAATCAATGCTAATGAAATCTCCTTCAACCTGAACTAATGTAAGACTTTACTAAGAAAGTAAATGCCATCGCACATATTTACAAAATTCTCTACGCCCCTCTCCAGGCGTTAGAGGAGGTTATATACGACAATACATTCTCACCTCATCAACTTATTGAAGTCTGCCAATAAAGCAAGGGGTGCTTTAAAAGAAATTCCAGAGAGTTTACCGGTAGCACAGCACTTACCGTTTTATACAATTCGTTCGTTCTTTTGAAGCTGGAATATGCAAGGATAATTTGGAGCACATGCCATGTGGAGGAGTGGAGTACTCAAAACCGGTGTTTATTCTCCCACGAAATATCTTACTTCAAAAGACTGGAATTCTCAGTCTTGATTTTCCATGTATTTTCTAGCTTTCTTAATTCAAACTTATAACATAAATTACCTACAGTTTTGGCTATGCTAAATTTCTATACACCTAGACTACGAACAAGGGTCAGCCTTGCCATTTACCTACCTAAAGCACGAGCTTACCTACTGCTGCAGTCACCGCTATGTTTGATAGGCTCTTGTTATAATGACTATATTCAACCATATAATTCATACATCCATTTCTACTAAGAAGGCAGTATGTAAAGCTGCAGTTTTTAGAGCTATAACAGTTTTAATCATTTCAGAACAGTGGATTTTTTCTAATAGTTCTATTTGTAAACTGTTGGTGGTGTAGATTATACCGTGTAATTAAAGAAATATGTAACACGTCTACAAAGTGTTTCCTGGAATTCAAATATGTTTTTGATTCCAGTATATCTCTTGCTTCATACATGAAAATTGAAATCACGAGAATATGACCAAATGGCTTTTTTGAGAGAAACAAGAAATATCTTCCTAGCCTGCATATGATCAATATAACTACTATACTTATTCACCAAATAAGCTATATCGGCTAAATAGGACGAGAAACAGTACAATGAAATCTTCAATTAGCACACCATCAAGTGAAATACATCGCATTGTTTCATGAAATTCGATAATCAACCAGCAGACTAGACTTGGCCGCTTTACAGTAATGTCTAATCGATTGGGCCATTCGCAGTCAGTCCACCAAATTTCAGCGCAATGTATTTCCGTAAACACAAATTAAATTAACGTTCGCCAAATACTAGGAGGAAATGGGACAGAACTATGCATTAGTTTAGAATTAGTGTGAATTTCGTAACAGCTTTATGGGCGTGATCGTGCATGTGTGTAGCTCACGGCCAACAGTCATTCATATGGACCTTGACCAGAAATGGTTACAAGCTAATTTATTACACCGACCCGGCAGTAATTATAAAAGTTTCAATTTCATTTTGAAGCATTGACCAACCTGTTATATCTGAAGAAAGCTAAACGTACATACATGACGGCTACCTGCCTGAAATCTAGCAACGCTGCTGTAACTCGAGATCGAGAGCACCAGCTATGCAGTCATACGCAGTGCCTGATGCACGAAAAAAGACACACGGGAAGCGTCTGTAAATATTTCTTTTCGTTTTAACGGCAAATGTACAGGAAAATGTATGATGTGTGAAACATATCTAATAGGTACGTCGAAACACCGGGGTCGGAGGTGTAATAATATACTAAAGTCAAAACACTTCGATAAACACTCGCCCTTACAACCCCCAAATTCCAATTTTCACCCCTAACAATATATTATAAAAATCGACTACTACCTGAATATTACAAAAGGAGCAAAGAAAGTCGCTTCGGCTTGACATCAGTATGCTTGTTTCATTGCAATCTCAATAATGAAGGAAAACTGTTCCAAGTGAGTATCAATCTAACAAAAAATGAAAAAATACATTTTTAAAATCAAACTTTTATTAGCTGTCAATAAAATTAACTAAAAATTTAAACACAATTTTACAGATTGGAAATATTTAAAACTATCACCAATCTCATTGATGTCAAGTTTTCAAACATCCAGCTGTCAAAATGCTATACGCTTTCATTTGAAAACTTGAGATGAAGGTGCTTCAGTATCATTTAAATATCTTCAGTCGAAAAAATATTTTTAAATGTGTAATTCACTTTATTGACAGCTGAATGAAAGCATGGTTCTAAAAACATATTTTTTATTTTATTTATTTTACGCTTTTTGGTATTTACGATGTCAAATAGCAAGTTTGGTAATTTCTAAATATTAATATTTTCATATATGTATTTCATTAATAGACCTCCTCAGTACTTCATACTTTATCGACATATGGAATTCCGAGTGACGTTATTTGCTTATTACGTTTCTCTCATTAAGCCCTTTCATATTTGTTACCCATATCATAGCGGTGACCATGGAAATTATAAATCACCATTGAGCGCCAGCCGCCATATTGGATTCTTTATGACATTAATTTGCGAATTGCAAGCCCTTTCATTTGATGTCCATAGCACAGCTTTCCCTAGTATTATTATTATATTATATTCCCCTAGTACCTAGTACAACACTGCAAGAGATGTTAGTGCGGGTGTTGCCTTGTACTCTGCCAGCAGCAGCGAAATTCTTTGCAATCGTAAAAACTGTAATATTCCGATATTATCTAGTGTAGCTTGTGTAAACCAAAATGAATCAACGAAGTATTAATGACTATTTATTTATGGGACAGCTTTAAAATGAATTTATATTGGCGGAAGTATTTACAAAAAATGGAAAAGTAATTACTTTTGCCATGCATTCCTGCTGCTGCAATATTCTCAATCCATTGCATTTTCAAAGTAAACACTGTTAAAAACACCAGACAAACAAAATATTCGCTGAATCGCAAGTATTTCAGTGTCTCAGTTGCGGAAAAAGCGAGAGTAAACTACCAGCAAAATGAAAATCAATGCAATCAAACCTCAGCTAAGATGATGCCACATTCAGGGCGTTTTTAATGTATGAACGGTCGGTAGTTTCGATATTTTAAGGACCCGAAAAAGTGAGTTATAAAAACTGTAGGCAACTTTACGCTCTTTACTTATACGCCCCCCTCCACAGGGCGATTCATAATTACATGACAACATAAACATGCTTGTTGTTTGCATAGAAAATCCAATGGATTAAGGATATCGCAGCAGAGAAGAATGCCTGGTATAACCTTTTTTCCGTTTACCTTCACCAGTACAAGTGTGTTTGAAAGCTTTTTCATAAAAATAGTCATCATTACGTCGTAGCTTCTTTTTGGACATACCGGCTGCTGTTGAGCACTGAAACCTGTTGCAATGTTGTGGGAATTTACACGCGTTTCTCTCCGTCGATATGGCGGCCGTTTTTGTGTTTCCCTCATGAAGCCCTGTTATTTGATATGTGGTGAAAGATGTAAATCGTCATTTTGCGGCGGCTGCAGTATTGGATTTAGGATAACGTCACTTCACTAATTGCGCTTGTCTCATCAAGCCCTTTTATTTGATACCCCGATATCATAGGGGCTACTATGAAAATGATGAATTGCCATTCTGTACCATCATCCACATTGTCGGCAATTAATTCATTTTGTATTGTCACGCGAACAAAATGCATGTACAAAATTTCTGCTTGATCGGTTAAGGTTAACTGGTTCAAAATTTATTTCCAAAATTTATCCCATACATAGAAACCGGTCAAGTTAAATAAAAGTCATCTATGGTGGCATCCCAAAATAGTTCACGAGCTCTGTCGTCTCTGCAAGTAAATCTTACTTATTTAACGGGACTCCTACAATCACGAGCACCATCTACTGAGGTAACGGGGGGTGAAAAGTAAACGAGGGTAGGCTGGCCTTAGACGCTCATCGGAAAGAATGACAACGGGTGCGTACCGAGGTAAATTTTTATAATAACAGAGTCGGATTTCGATTAGCGATCTAGGCTGTAAATCGTTTCCTATTTCGGTACTCAGCAAGTGATCATTTAGTATTGTTCTACCCTTTTTATTGTTCGTCGATATTATGTTGTTGAATTGTTGTGCTGTACTCTTGTTGGTGTGATTGTTCTTGAGTGCCTTTTTTATCAAGGTTGATAATGGATAATAAAAGTTCATATGAGATAATTTTAATTACGAATGCAGTGAGTTTAATTCATGATGAGGACAACAATAGTGTGGAGCAGTTCAACTCTATAATCGCAAAGTACATTGGGGTAAGCGAATAAATTATTGCAACAATAGGTCATACCATGGAAGATGTGATGCAGCTGTAGTGAGCCACAATACCGAGCGGCCTGTCTATGTGGTCCAAATAAATGTGCGTTCTAAGCTTAGCCCAACCTCGCATATCACTAAGATGGAACAAAGACTCAAACGCAAGAATCTTGAAAAGAAACTCAAACCAAAAAAAGCTTATATAAAAATAACTTACAATTCGGATAGCAATTCCAAAGAAAATGAATAGTTTTATGGCGTATTCTGTCAAAAACCTGACATGAACGACATTGATTTGGAGGTTGCTAAGCAAGAATTTTTAGGGAAACTTAGAAAAAGTCTCGATTTGGTGAAGTTTGTAGAAGAAGGCAGATAGCAAGCTGTAAAGTTCTGGTAAACAACATCATATACCCAACAGAGTTTTCTAGTAAGACAATAAAAAAAGGCAATACAAAAATCATGGGACACTTCAACCTTGTGGTTTGTTTATTGATCGCACACATCCATTTCTGGCAGCATCACCTCCATCTACCTATACAGTAGACAAGACATGTACTTAATCCAGGTATAAGCCTGCCTGTTTATTGCTTTGCAAAAACTACCTAACTGTTTACTCTTAGTTTGACCGCATAAGATATTTTTATGACCGTCGTTCAATTGTTACCATCTACCACATGACCCTTGTAAACATAATTGTGTTTATTGACATGAATAAACGAATTTGAATTTGAGTTCTTGAATTTACTTTAGGAAAGATATAAAGTTATTTGAATACCTACATTTGTTCTTAGTCGGAACGCACCGTCGCGTCGCTTGGACTGACAGGACGAAACAGTAGATGAATTTCGCCCAGAAACCGATTTGCACTTCACAGCCTTCGTTTCATTTTTATTATTTACAAATGAAAT